CGAGTCCTTCAGTTTTTCGCCCTTCATGGCGGAGAGAATTGATGCTGCCTCCATTGCTGGATTCAGGGGTAGCTGGGAATAGCTTCACAATTGCTAATTCAGGGGTAGCTAGGAGGTTTCAAGGGGTAGAAAGCAGGCTTCTAGTAGTGTACTAGATACTATATCTCAAATAGTAATGCTTTCTTCGATGCGAACCGGGCTCATAACTGTCGGATTGGTCTGTATTGTAAATGTAGGGGTCCAATCAGTGGTATTCAACTCTCTGTATTTCTGTATCGGCTCTTGGTACAATTTATATGGAGCCATGATTACATAACATTAATTACAAAAATGTGTAGGATTAATAAATCCCCCGGTATGCCGGTCGTCATGCTCCGACAAGTTTGATGAGCCTCATACATCACCTCCACCTGTTTTCTGCATTAGCACAATCGGTATCACTTGTAAGTTGTTAAGAAATTGGGTCAGTACTAATTAGTAGAAATCGAACGAATTCCCAGAATGTATGGAAGGAATGTATGGAAGGACTTCCTGTTGATCCCCCAGTGAAGCATCTTAGGTATGGTCGTACGGGTTAAAGGACCGATAGGCGATATGAGATAAGATCCGAAGATAAATGAGGCGGTGTGCGTGTAAAGAGAGCATCATTGGCTGGAAGGCAAAGTGGGCCGAGGGGCAAGAAACTTTGTGGGCAAAATCCAGTCATGTGATTTAAACACCCCGCCAATCGCGTCGCCGCCTGGATTTTTTTTTTGTTCTCCCCGCCTTCTCCTCGGCGATCACTTACTTGAGTGATAGGGTTTTCTTTCCACGCCTAATTCCAAACCTCAAGTCAATCAGAACTATAAAGTTCACCCGACATCATGACCGTCGATACCAGTATCCAGGAAGTGACACAAAAGGTCGAACCTCCTCAGGTCCCCCCCCATCGTTCCCACGATCCCAGCAACAACCTGAAACGGGCCGACCCCTTTCAATTCGGTTCAAGATTCCTTGAAAAGGGCGATGATGTCTTCGAGTTCAATGCCTGGGACCACGTCGAACCAGATGATGAGTTCAAGGCCTTTGCCCAGACCCAATATGCGAAACAGCGCGAAACACGCGTGTCAGACTTTGATCGCAACCGATTCAACTCCAACCCCGCCAAGTGGTGGGACCTTTTCTATAAGAACAACACAGCCAACTTCTTCAAGGATCGAAAGTGGCTGCGCCAAGAATTCCCCATTCTCGCAGAAGTCACACAGAAGGACGCCGGTCCCCAGGTCGTCCTGGAGGTTGGCGCGGGAGCTGGAAACACCGCCTTCCCATTGATAGCCAACAACGAGAACGAGCACCTGAAGGTCCATGCCTGTGATTACTCCAAATATGCCGTCAAGGTCATGCGCGAAAGCGAGCTCTACAACGAGAAATACATGACCGCTGATGTCTGGGATGCGGCTGGTGTGCCTGACGAGAACGGCGATTCTCTTCCTCCCGGTCTGACCGAAGGCTCAGTCGATGTTGTTATTATGATCTTCATCTTCTCTGCCCTGGCCCCTAACCAGTGGGACCATGCAATCCGCAATATCTACCGTCTCTTGAAGCCCGGTGGCCGTGTGTTGTTCCGTGATTACGGCCGTGGTGACCTTGCCCAAGTGCGATTCAAGAAGGGTCGATACATGGCTGAGAATTTCTACGTTCGAGGTGACGGCACACGTGTCTACTTCTTCGATCAGGATCAACTTGTTGACATGTGGGGTACCTGGAGCGCAGAGAACGGCTTGCAGATTCCCATTGGTGATGAGAACTCAACCGAAGAAGCGTCTGAGAAAACAGAAGATGAGCTATCTGCAGAGGCCAAACAACTGGCAAAGGAGAAAGGAGCGTTTGAGGTCCTTAACATGGGAGCTGATCGCCGCCTGATTGTCAACCGTGGCACCAAACAAAAGATGTACCGCTGCTGGATGCAGGGTAACTTCATGAAGCGCGGTGGAGCTAAGGCCGAGGCTGCTACTGAGAGCACCCAATAAACTCCTGATTCACCAGTTCTGCGATGGTCATTTCGGATGGCTATAAACCTTCACCAATGTCTCAGCCAAAGACAGGGAATTTCTTGTCTACCAAACAGTACAATTGTAACGGTCTTTCCCACCGTCCAACCGTGATCTCGCGATTTTCGCCATACGTGGATCTAAGACCATGTTTTCAGGTGTATCTCAAATGCTCATCACGCCGAGATCAACATACCGGCTGTTAGGATATTTCCAGTGGGAAAGGACTAAGCAGCGCCATCAAAGCCACGGAAGAATGGCTTGGGTTGCTGTTGATATAGGGCAATGCCTTCATTATGGCGTTATGAATGTACGACACACACATTAGACCATGTCATTTAATTTGCAAATACAGTCAAGCAACAATGCCTACCCCGTAGAGAAGCGTCACTAGATGCTTATGTAGAAGGTTAACTCTACCTATTAGTATAAATTATATATCAAGAGCATGTAATATAATCCCCTTTTATAGAATTCGGAAGGCCAACCTTGGAACTAAGCATGTTTATGACATAGCTGACGGTAGGAGGTAATTTCTGAGGTAAATATGGAATGTGGAAACCAAAATCTTCGTTTGTTCTAGCCATATCGACAACGGCAGTCTACAATATGCAGACACCTAAGTACAGCAAGAGTCTCAAAAGTACATGCAAAATAACCAAAATATTTGGGCACACCCTGTGTCTAGACAGATCGAATGGTGCGAATAAGAAAAAAAGAGAGACACCGGAGTTATGTACATGCCAATGCTCTAAGAATTGAAGAAGAGATAGAAAACCAAGACGAACTCCAGCCATGCAGGCAAAATGGGCATCAACTGAGACAAAGATCCCGTAGAAACAGATGGAAAAGGTCATTGCAAGGGACCATAGCAAGTCGTGACCCGCAGTGACCTGCGAGTCTAAACGTCTAATCGCTGTATGTTAAAAAGCGAAACCATGTACTCTATGGTATTTGTTCATGAGCAAAAAGCAAAGAGATTCGTGGCGGTATGCTGGGAGGTGTTTTCACACCGTCATATTCGGACACTCGCCCTGGGCTCGCTGGAAGGCTCCTGCGAACAAGTCCTGCATGGCGTGGTAGTGGAAAAGGATACCGCCCAGGACAGCCAAGTGCCAGATATTGTGACTGCCACCAACATAATCGAAAAGACCTGGCTTCCAGCGCTCAGGAACCTTGGAGGCGTAGACACAGGCACCAACAAAATAGACCAAGACGCTCTTCATGACTGGTGCATAGAAATACATGGTCCATGCGAAGCCACGAGTATAAGAGAGCTGGGCTATCGGCGAGAAACCGGTGAGTGCAAGGGTCACGTAGAAGCCCACGCGGGCCCAAGCCATATCGTGGCGATTGAAGGTTGGGTGCCACGGTAGAATGATGCCACCGACGCCCAGTGACATGGTAAGCAGAATGTATACCCACCGGGAGAAGGGCTCGCAGTAGAAAGCAGTGTATTCGGTCGTCACAATCGAGGCGGCGACCAGCATAGAGATTCCAGTGTAGTCCACGCAAGCGAATCGTTCCATCAATGACTGCGAAGCAATGCTGTTCATAGTATGCCAGATAGTGCTGCAGACTAGGCATTTGCATGCAGCAAAGAAGAAAACGGCAGCGATTGTGATGTCAGATTTGGAACTCAGGTGGAAATTGGTGTGAAGCGGGTAGAAGTAAAAGGCGATGGCTAAGACGATGACCAGGCCGATCACATGGGACCATATGTTGAACATCTCGTTCGAGTAAGCGAAGACCGACGAGACACATTCCACTTTGGAAGTGGTGAATCGATAGCCATTGATGATGTGCGGGTTGACACGCCATGGATGAGGTAGTTCATGGTAGTTAATCAATCGCTTCTCCTGGGCTAGTCGGATAGCTTCTTCAACAGCATCTCGGAGAGTATCACGAGTCCGACGGGCACGCTCCATACCCTCGTCGACGATTTCCCGGGCATGAACCAAGCCTGAGTCCATCGCTTTCAAACCATCATCTATAGTGCCGTAGATGCCGCGATCACGAACCGCATGAACTTTGTTCTCCAGCTCGACCAGGAATGACTCCATTAACCGCACACCGGCTTGAGCCTTTTGCTCCAGAGTCTCCTTGGTCACTAGGGCTTCATTGTATCCATCCTCGAGGGTTTCGACCAGAATCTTGGCCCGCTTTTTGCCGCTTCCCATCAACTCTCCCGAGGCGAGGGAGCATTGATCCCTCACGGCTTCCAGTGTAGCATAGCCTCGCTTCAGACTGGCATCGACCTGCACCATGTGGGATTTCCGGTATTGCTCGATCCATTGCATTCGACGTTCCAGTTCGGATAAGAAGAGTTCGACCTAATTCTTGGTTAGACACACAAACCCGGAGATGTTTCCCACTAAGATAATATATGCACATACCCTGATAAAGACTGCATCTGCATCTTGATAGTCGCACGAGAGTTTTCTAGAAGCGTGGAACGAATGTCGCCGCCGATCACGGAGCAGACCCGTATTCTCGTCGGGAGTCGCAGTAGCAGAGGTAAAGGCCTCTGCTTCAGGATAAGTCTCCACTGCCATTGTAGAAGCACCGCAAGCCATGGGGTATAGTTGAAAATCCACCCGTCTAGCCTCAATCAAATGCCATACAGGGTGAGAATGGTGGGCGATAAGCGTTGAGAGGCAAGGGCTCCGGATAAGTACCGGGAAGCAGAGAAGAACTCAGACAAAGCCTTGAGTTGAAAGGAGAGATTTAAACGATAAGGAATGAGGGGCACATAAGAGTAATTAAAAAGGAAGCCAAAAAAAAGGAGGGGAATGGGGGATCGGGGAATGTACAAAAGTGTAAGACGGTAAAATGGAGTGGCGCTGGGGGAAAAAAGGGCCAAGTTCCCCCAACCACACAAAATCCCCGAGGCACATTGCCGCCCCGAACATCCTGATTGATCCATTCCGCCTTCACCTCTTCTCTTTTCCGCTTTATACTTCGCCTCTTCATCCAACATGGCTATCAGTGAAATCGTCGCCGATGAGTCGCTCTTACCAGTGCTTCAGACCAGCGCTGAGACTCTGGTCCAGTGTCAGCACCTCCTCACCATCCTAAACCCCGATACCCTGCCCAACGATGACGCCAAGCTCCGAGAATTATCCTTAGCTGCGTCCAAGCAACAAAAGCTCTTATTCGCGCTATTGGCCCAACTCCGCGGGCAGAACCGGGATGCCATCTTTCGCGTGCGCGACACCAAGCAGTCAACTGCAGAAGCTCGACAGGAAATCGACCGGCTACATCTTCAGCTTCAGAACTTGTACTATGAACAGAAGCATCTGACAGGTGAAATTGCGGCTTGCGAGGCTTATGAGTACGTGAATCTGATTTCCAACTTGTAACAATCTCATTTCCCCACCAGGAACTGACCTATTTGCTATAATAGTCACAAATACCTATCCCTCCCTTTGATCCCGGTCGAAGAATTCTTGGAGCTTCACCCCGAACATCGCGAGTCCAGCGAACATGACCTCATGATCGCCCGCATCGAACATGAGCATGTTGAACGAGAAAAGCTGGAGCAAGCGCGACAAGAGCTTTTGAAGCGCAAGCAGGGCTTGATCGCAGAGAATAAGAAAAGGAAGAATGATCTTGCCAACCTTGACCAAGATCTCGAAAAGTTCATTGATGTATGTTCTTACCCTTGTCCAAATCTGCGATTGATGAGTTTGCTAATAAGTTTCATGACATTTAGGCTGCTAAGCCGATTCAAAAGATCTTCGAGAAGGAATACTAGACATTGCATGTGGAGGTACAGCGGTGGAGCGCTGGCATTTTGACTGCTACATTGGATCGGCGTTACTGGTCAATATACCCTTGTTTTTTTTGTGATTTCAAAGTACTTCGAGTCGATAATGACATTCTTGGCCCGTTTGGGACTCTGCTTGGTCTCTACTTCAAAAGTAGATTGGATGCGAATTCCGGAACTTCGAATCGTAGAGTACAAACATCACATCTCTCGATCAATTAAATAAGAAATCTAAAACTATAAGTTCAGATCAAAGACTGTGTATCCATCCCAGTGCCGGGTACGGAGTATAGTTGAGAGTTGCTCCATGCGGCCACTTAGGTGGTCCCTGGCCTCTCCGCCCGGCTATCAACTTCCCCCAAATCAACAACTTGATAACCACTTACTCCTTTGTTGCTCTGATTTAGAGCACAAAGCATGTCCCGACCATGACGACTAAAACAGGAGACCAGGAGTCTCCTCAGGCTTCGGCCTCTCAAGTCGACCAACCCGGCGTCAAGCGCGCTCCGCCCCCAGAAACCCCGGCAGCCCTCCAAACGCGATTTCGAGTCATAGCAGCATTTTGGGCTGTAATTATATTCCTTGGGTTCCCGATATGGTGGAAGACAACATCAATCTACCGGGCGTCTCTCCCCATCGAGGAGATGGTGGATTGGGCTGATGGCAAGGTACGACTTGCGACATTCGCCTTGAGCTTTGGGGACTTGGTAGATGCTAATAATGGTCTCGACAGGCGTGCCGACCAGTCTTCCCTTTGGAAATTCACCTTGCGACACCGTCAATGCAATATTTCGAGGCACAGCACCTCCTCCGCACGACGCAGCACACTTTGGATGATCTCAACGAGTTCCCAGCTCATCACCTTCGGCTTAAGTTGACCAACGGTAGCACAACGGCAATCCATAATGGCGAAGACAACCCTGAAAGTGTCAAATATCCCACGGAAGAGACAGCGGATATTGCATTGACCGTCCGATTACTGCCCCAGGATGGCCTAGCAGCTCCTCGGTCAGAGCTCCATGCAGCTACGACGCAACTCGACGTCTTCTACCCGCCGAGCCAAGTCCCCGTACCGTCCTCCTCCAACTCTCCCCTCTCGGCATTCATTGCGGCCGAGCTTCAGCGATTGTATGGCGAGGAGAAGGCTACTATAGCGCACATCTTATCTGGAAATACCGCTGGACTTGACTCGACCTCACCAAAACTCGCCGAAGATATCGACCGAAGACTGCGCCGGTCGATGAAATATGCTGAAACCTACCACCTCTCCTTTTCACTATTTACCCCTGGGTCTGAGCCTTCCTCGTGGGACATTGAGGCTGCGGTGAACGAATATGTCACCCCGCTCTTGCAGGCATTCTCTCCTATCAGCAATTTCACTGTCGACACGCAAGTGCAGCTCTATGCGAACTTTGCACCCACTGCACCGAAGCCTGAGTATGATGAATCCGAGGCGGCTTGGACATTGAAGAAAGAAGACCTAAGTGCCTTCGTCAATGCCGCCGAGTGGCCGTTGAACCCAAGCATTGGCAATGGCCCGACGATCAATTTCATCCTCTATGTACCAGACGCCTCGCAGTCTCCACTCGTTGTCAAGGAGAACCGTGCTTCTAGTTGGATGGTCCCCCAATGGGGTGGGGTATTCCTCCTTAACCCGCCGCTTTCGCATACCGAACAGGGTGGCCAATCCAATCCTGCCCATCTCTCCCAGGACTCGTTAGGTCCTGCATTCATGACATTCTCTCATCAACTCCTCACCCTCCTCGGTACTCCAAGCACCCCTGCCTCCCTTCCACTCCGTCTTCAGACATCTATCCGCATTCGCGCAGCCAGCTTGTTGCTCTCGGCCTCATCAACAATGGGCTCGCTTGCCCGTCTTACTGAGTCTTTACCTTCAATTCCTATCCCGGCAACCGTGGCTACTTCAGTCTCAACCACTCTATCTCATTTGGAAGCCTCCTGTGCCCACTTGCGAGAGGGTCGTTTCGGTGCTGCGCTTGCCAACGCTCGAGTCGCGGAGACAGAAGCTGAGCGTAGCTTCTTCGAAAAGAGTATGGTGGGCCAGGTCTATTTCCCAGATGAGCATAAGGTGGCGGTTTATCTGCCTCTTCTGGGACCAATCGGTGTCCCTCTTGTGGTTGGGTTGCTCAAAGAGCTTAAGAGAATTGCAGCTCGGCGTAAGGTGAAGGGAGCAGCATCGTAGAGTAATACAACCTCTCGACATTCATGTATTTTAGGATCTAATATATACACCCAAGCTATCCTTCTTCTCGAGATATCTATCTATGATCATTTTGAATTACTATCTACCTAGATAGATACGACTCACACTTTCTAAGCATATATTCAGTATAATCTTGCACTAAAAGCGAGCTATATTTGAATTGGATGAAGATTAATTAGGTATTTAAATAGATGAAACCCCAACCTTCGAAACAAAATGAAAAGGAAAAACAAAAACAAAACAAAACAAATGTGGATATCTTGGTACACGGTCAATATGCCAGAACAACCAAATGTCTAAACCCAAGATGATTGAGCGCACAGCTCAACTCAACACAACGCAGGCTAACATCCCTCAATTATCAACGCACAGGATCCTTGAATGGATTTTCCCGAGAATCGTCATTAGTCGGTGCCTTCCCCTTGCCATCATGCGGAGTCCCAACAACCCGCATCAGGTCATTAAACAGAGTGTCCGGCTTAGCGGCATCACCAGGGTACGGCTCAGGCCCCAAAAAATTGCGAGACTGCGAGAACGAAGACTCAGGCGGTGAATACACCTTGATGCTTTCCGTGCTCGGCTGACGCTGTCGTGGCGGAGTAAACGGAGCCGCTACCGGTGCTGGTGCCATGGGATTTGGCATGGGGATAGGCGGCACATCCTTGTCGAATCGGGGGTTTTGTCTTGGATACCCGGAAAATAGACTCCGCACTCTGCTGCCGGTACGGTGGATCATTGTGCGAGTCGAGCGCCCTCCTATAGAGGAGCGCTTGGCTCGCGGTGGGCTTCGGAGGAAGTCGGTGCGGTAGGAGGTATCGTCTTGGGGAATGGGGTTTGATATGCACAATATTGCGCCAGAAGAAGAGCGTTGGGACCAATTAGGCCCGGATTTGCCTTCTTGTATTTCACATTCGTCTTTTCGGGTACGTCGGAAACAGAAAGATATTAGGAGGGCTGCGACTGCACCGAAAACGGCACCTGGGAAGAAGCCTGCTGCTAGAGCTCCGGCTGGGAAGGAGGGGCAGGAGTTTGATATCTCTGAGCATGTCGTGGTGCTTGTGGACTTTTCGGATGAGGGAGATGCTACGGGTGTGATGGTTGCCTGGGGAGTTGTTGAGCTCGTAGCCGCTGTCGATGCTGTGTTGGCAGAGGAGGTAGATACAGATGATGATGCTGTATTGGTAGAGGAACTGGGTGAAGATGAAGATGGTGCGTCGGTAGAGGAGCTGGATACAGATGTTGTTGCGGTTGCGGAAGCTTTTTGGTCCAGGGAACAAGTGTTGTCCCCTCGGCAGGTGTAGCCAAACGGGCAGCACGCATCGCCGCATTTCGGAAGGCTGTCGCCCAGACGGGTTGTCTTGACTGAACTCTCAGGATAAGCAGTGACATTCTGCTGTTGTACATCGCATGTAATCGGCGAGATGTAGTCACAGCTTTTACCGGCGGGACAACAGATGGAGGAGCTGCCCTGATCTAGACTGATGCAGGTGGAGTCTGAAGGACAACAGAAATCACTTGGGAGTTCTGTACTCCCACAGCGAGTGTACGAGGAGGGACACGAATCTGAGCTTCTTGAGAGAAGGTCAAAAGAGTTATTTGCTTGTCCGGGTCGGATGCTGGCCATCAGAGTCAACAGCAGCAGAACGGATGGCCGTAACCTCGTCATATTGGCTGTGCGTACGTAGGCCGAGGAAGAAAAAAGTCTCTGACGATCAAATCCAGAAGAGTCTTGCCGGAAGAAATAGACTGATAGCGTCTGACAAAATGTTCACGTATAACGCAAGCTAAGTCGCAAGTAGGAAGACCAACACTGGAGGAAACCTTGACGGAGATAGATTGCAAAGAGCTAAAAGACAAGAGCATTGATTTCCGTCTGAAACAAAAATCAGTCAAAGAACCAGGATATGTCATTCTTGAAAGAAACCTCAGCACTGCCATCCTTCAAGTCTTGTAGACAAAGAGTACTTGCACGCGCCGTGGTCCTAAAATAGCCACTGGGCTGTTTCAGGGTGGTCTGCATGATTAAAATGGTAACAATTTGGGCGCTAAATCAGGTCTTTGTTACATGACCCCATCGAACCAGGAGATTGCAGAACGAGGATTGGATGAAGGCCAAAGGGTGCAGAAGAGACAAGGCGCTTAGAGATGAAGTAGATTTGGACGATGTGATTGGCTGTTTGACCAGGGGTCTTACATAACCACGCTAATCCCAATCGGGCAGAACGTCGGGAGGGAAATTCTTCGACATCGAAGCTCTGTACGATTAACCCGACCATTCACAGTGCCGCTCGTCATGTTCAACCGATTCGCCAGGCCGCAAAGCGCTTTGCGCGCAGCCTCCTCTTTCTCCCCAGTGAGACTCACTTCCTCCGTCGCCCAATCCACCTTGACTAACCGCGTTTTGTCCAGAAACCTACCTCCGCCTTCTCACGCTTCCAGACTCGGGCTATCCATCGCATTCCCCAATTGCAGCACGACGCCTACTATAAGGAGAATGGTGTTCCGGAGTTCCTGTCGCCTGAGGCGTTCGACTTCTCCTGGACCCAATACCAGAGTCTCCTTGTTAACAAACTCAATCTGTTGACACAAGGTGAGCCCGAAACTCCGACCCTGTGGCACGATACATTGATCCAATTCGGCTCCAATGGGATGATTGAGCGACATAAGACATTGGAAAACGTGTCTGACATTCGAATTCAATAGATACCGTCGACGCGGATGCCAAACCAGGAGAATTGCTGGTCAAATACTCCAAGCGTCCGGAGATGGCCTCGGTGTTCAACTATGCCTCAATGGCCCACAACAACCACTTCTTCTTCAACTGCCTGGTCAGTAACGATACCAATCCCTTCATATATGACATTTAATCCTGACTAGCCTCCCCAATATAGTCCCCCACAGCCACCACCGTCCCCGAAAAGTTTGCCAAGGACATCGTCGACACCTGCTCCTCCGTCGAGTCCCTTAAGCTGGATTTCCTCGCCACAGCAAGCTCAATGTTCGGCCCCGGATTCGTCTGGCTCGCCAAGAACCTCGAGCGCGAAGGCATGATGCACATCTTCTGCACCTACAGCGCCGGCTCCCCCTACCCGGCCGCCCACTCCCGGCGGCAACCCGTCGACATGGCCACCCACACCCCGGAGACCCAGCTGGGCAACCAGTTCGCCGGTTCGATGGGCGCCCATGCCCAGAACCAGAAGAACCTTGCACCCGGCGCCGTCGACGTGCAGCCCATCCTCTGTGTCAACACTTGGGAGCACGCTTGGATGATGGACTACGGTATTGCCGGCAAGGACGAGTACCTCGAGCGCTGGTGGGATCGGATTAACTGGGATGTGGTCTTTGACAACTACAATGCTGTCGGCTCGATGAAGAACTCGCGCAGCTCCATCAACCGTCATCGGAGTATGAGCATGCTTTAAGTTGAAAATCATTTCTGTGTCTCGATAATCTGTATTATATACTATCATGTTTTATTTTTTTTTGGTACCCATTGCTCATTCTCACAGGCTTCTGATTGAGCATGTACAGCGATCCATCCAATAGAATCAAATTGGCGATGCTCTCTATTTCCCTTCTGCTGTCAAGAGTTTGAGGATATGCAAGTCTAATAAGCACATAGTTAGTACTTAGTTATGTAGTTGTCATACATGCAATTTATGCCTAACCAAAACACCTCTAATATACAATCCAATCTACAATCGACACTTCTCTCACTGCCCTTTACCCTCAACCTCCCGTATCCGCTTCTCAAAAGCCTCAATCATAACCCCGGCCATCTGCCCCTCAACAGCACTCATGAGAGTAGCATGCATCTGCGAACGGAACTCAAACCGTACCTCCAAATTGACCTTCGTCAACGGCCTACCCTGCGCGCCAGGCGTGAGGGGCACCAACTCCCACCTTGTAGTCAAGTACTCAAAGAGACCCTCATTCGCGCCGGGGAAGAAGCCGCTTAGGCCAGACGAAGAAGAGCTCTTACTAGCCTGGCCACCCGATCCTTCTTTACCATATTTTGCCCCGCTCTTAGCCTCCACGGTCAGCTTCTCTACGTCACAGATCACGCGCGACGTGAAGGTCTCGCTGAGCGGGCCGTAGCCGACGGTCAGGAACGCTTGTGTTGGGTACCCTGTTTCCGGATCCCGGGCTGTCACAGTCGAGGCGGTGAGGAAGGGGAGGAATTGGCTGTAGGATTCGACTGAGGAAATCACTTTGTATAGTAAGGCTGGGTTGTAGGAGAGGTTGCGGGTAGCAGTGAGGACGCGGTGTGGGGAACTGTTGTTATTGTTGCTGTTTGGGAGGAAAGAGGATAGGTCGGGTAGGCCGAATGCCCGTGTAGTGGTTTTGGGGCCATTGGTTGGGAGTAGAGGTCGGCGCAGACTTGGTCGTTGGGTTGTGTTTATTGTCCTCGTGCTTGTCTTGAGTTGGGAGACTGGGCACACATTCTGGCGCTGAGAGGGTAGAGTTGCGCGACTTGGAAGTCGCAAGGCGCGGAAGGGTCGCATTGAGGAGGGTTATATTATAATGATAGAAGATATTCACAGGTTGGTTCTTGGAGTGTAGTGGTTCCTGACAAGAAAAAGCTCCGGTTCCGCGGAGCGGAATCTGCAGCCGCCTCGGCAGGATTTAGTGAGTGGCCAAGTACGGAGTACATATACTCTGCATTGGATAGATTTTTCACTTCGTAGACTTTCCTTTTACTAAAAACAAGAATTCGAATAGCTCTATGAGATGCTTCTATTGATAGCATGGGTGAGCTTAGGTCTAGTTCATAAATTGATCAGCTACATTGTAAGCCTCTGGTGCGTAGTATCTCGAGATCTTTGATAACGATGTACAAGAGAAACACAAAGTATGTTCACAACATTGACTATATATATAGAGACCTCACTATCGTCATTACTGATAGCTCGGATGATCCATTGGCGATACACCAGGAGGATATGCACCAAAATCGTACCCAGTTGCTGGACCATCAGGGTACCAAGTGTTGTTATTGGTGGCCATTTCGACACCTGAAATGTGACTGTCATACAGATTCTAAGAACAAAGGATTAGCGAGTGGTTTTATAAGCATCCAGAAATGTAGCTGGGGCCCTTACCCAGTCGAGTTGAGCGGGTATATCAAGCATGTCTTCGATGACCCCCAGGGAGTTGTATGACGGCGTTTGAGTGGGGTCGGGTATTGCGGACTGCAGCTCGCCAATATCGGATGTGTATGTTGAGGAATGTTGATCAAGGGCTGCTTCACTGGTGGATTGGACTGAGATACCATCTGAGAACCTTGTCAGCGCGATATTGCAAGGAGAGAAAAAGTATACTTACTATCCATGGGCGCCGCCGTTGGTTGCTCAGCAGTCGAACTGGAATGTTGAAATTCACCTTTCTTCACCCGTTTGAGCATGATATTCAAAGCGTTCACTGCTCGCTGAGTATCTACAGACCGGTGACGGGAGTCCATGAATATACGATGGGTATTTTCCAGAAGAAGCAAGAAGTCTGCGCGTTCTTGGGGCCCGAGGCGTGCGGCATCGCCACGATCTGCATCCTGAGACATCTCAAGACAAATAATCATTGCTGAGAGCAAAAAGGAATTCTGGAGGGAGTTGAGGAAGTATCGCTCTGCATACAACTGACCACCAGGCATGAACTCGGTCCAGACCTCTGTGTGGTATTGAAGCGCATCCCGAGCTGCGGCCAGGCACACTGATCGCGAGTAAGCAAATTTGGGATTAGTCTCGGCGATATACCGGCGATGTAGGACAAGACGTGCTGTTTGATACAGAAGCTCTAGCGCGAAGCGTCGCATAGTTACTTCTGCTGGGTCTGCGATACACTGCGTCATTGGTCGAATTTCCAAGCAGGAGGGTACCATGTCATGTGCGGTCTCTAAACGACGGTCGATGTCCATGATATCGTCGTAAGATGAGTGCTCTCGAGAGAATGCTAGATCTGTGATATGGCCAAAGACGCTCATTATGTGAGATTTGGTCCTTGTGTACGAGCAAGCTGTCCCTTCACTCTGTGGCCTGCCTGGTGGCAATTTAACGGTACTCTCGTCGAAGTCTGTGTCCAACAGGTTAGAGGGCAACTCTGTATCATATTGCCAGGGCTGGATTGTCCGAGGGACACCGGCTTGAAATGAGCTCAAAGTGTCAAGCTGAACGAGCAAGGCCCAGAGACGCCGGCGCATTTCCCCATCCAAGGCAGATAGCATGGGGTAATGGCGTGGATCACGATGATAACCCATTCGCATAGTCAGGCGAATAGTAATCCCGAGCAAATAAGACACTCCAACCTGCGTATCCTGGCTCCGGTAGAACTCAGTGAGTGAGTAAAAAAGTAGTGCTTCTCCTTTGTATCGCCCTGGGGTGATGTAGTTCGCTTGGATAAGACACTGCGCGGACCTTTTCCGGAAGATGGTCCATGACTTGATGGAGTCCTCCATGGTAGAAGGCAAGAGGTCTGACCCTCGATGATATAGAGAGACAGACAAAGCCATAATCGAGTATAAGAGAGAAATCCAAGTAAATGATTTCTCTGTTGGGCGCAGCCAGAACTCCTCGTACTCTTTCTGAAATGTGGGAACATGGATTGACACTACTGGGTCATCAGTACTTGTTGCCTATAATTTTCTTCAAGAAACTCATACCTCGTGCCGGTTCAGATGTCTTGAGGAATCGAGACACCAGGCGGTCGGCTATTGACCGTGGAGGGATATCCGTAAGCATCTCCTCTTTGCTCACCGGACGACCATGACCAAGCAGCAGAGCTGGCGACGAGCCATCATATGGGTCAATATCGACGCCTTCATCGTCGGAAGTTTCTTTATCGTCGTCTAGATATTCTTTCACGCCATTAATCTTCAAAATTGAGAACCCGTCAGCACATTCATCTCAATGCGTAGCAATGACCAGACCAAGACGGACCTCTTCCAGAATAGCGCGCCAATGTGCACTGTCAATATAACTAGTTCCCTCATTTTTGACGACGAGCGTGCCCGTATCGATAAGAGCCAACGCACCATCACGGTCAGAGCTGCCGGGTGAAGGCGTTGCGTAAGCATCCCGTTTCTCTGACTGCACCGCATTGAAATCGATCCCAGGACCAGACTTCTGCTTCTGCGCAAGAGACATCACTAGATTCTCTAGATGGTGCAAGCGGTCCTGGACCAGAGTCGGGCTTGCGCGCCCATGTTGGGCTTTGCCTCGTGGTCCGCGCCCGACATAGGTACACGATGTGGCCTCGCCTCGCTTCTTGCAATTAACGCAAGGGTGGCTGCGGCAGCATTTCAATCTATAGTGATCAGTAGCTGTAGATATGCTAGGTATGCACGTCGTGCGTTGAGCTTACTTTCGATACCTGCACGCCGTGCATGAAAATTGTACGCGCGTTCGCTTTTTGGGGGCGGATTTCTCCACCGCAGGCTCCAGAGGTTCGTCCATTATTATTTATAGTTATTGTAGGTATTGCGATCGGCAAATGATGAGGATGCCCAGGAACTACAAAAGAATATTCCAGGTGGCAAAGGAAAAAGAAGTGGACTCCCTAGCTCGTGGGGGATCGACACGCCCCGCTAACCCGTGCACAGAGCTTGTTGTACTTTGTTTAGGAATACCTCCAACAGACCGCAACCACAGTCTTATATACAGTCATTGTGTATTTGTATATATGGTTTATTTTTGCAGTTTATGCCTACTGGATATCAGCCTTCATAGCGACTACTCCTCCGGGCCCAATAATCTGCACCTTTGTTCCCTCGCCGTCCTCAAGCACAATCCGATACTCATCCCCGGCATATAGTGGACTCGTCGCTCGGTAAGAGATGCGCTCTGGAACTACCAATGTAGAGTCCGTGACATTCTGGCGAGTGTCACGCCAAAGATCTAGAATGGAGATCAGATTCAACGGACCATGTACCACAATATCCTTGTGTCCTTCTACATCCCGCGCCCAGGGCAGTGAGTAGTGAATCTTATGAGGGTTGAAAGTCAGGGCAGAGAAGCGGAAGAGCATCACGGGTGTTTGAACCAGGGTTCGTGTATGGGTATTGCCCTCGGTGGAAATGACGGACGAGGTGGGATTTGGGGTCGCAATATGGGATGTTGGAGACGAGGGAGGAGCGCTGGATGGTGTTGATGCAGATGGAACAGGTAGAGCTTTGCGGAACACCCAATTGCTAAATGAATGTTGTTGTCAGTACTTTTCTCTGCGGAATTCTTCAAAAAGGAAGCCGGACCGTCGGTCAATGATTGATACGCCGTGCTCGTTGGCGAATTCTTTCTCAATCCCAACAACAATCATGTCCTCGCCAGTCTTTTTCACAACCTTGGACTCTGCGCTAAGCACTCGCGTTGTCTCCTGCACTTGCTGTCCTACCCGTAACAGATTGGGTTTCCCATTTACGCGGGGCCACAGCACCTCGCCGCCTGCCCACATGCGCCGCGTGAATGGCGCGTCGGGATTGTATGACGCGTCTGTTCCATCTGCCCCAAGTTCACTTTCCAGGAATGCGGGTGTGAAGTACGCGAGGTGGTAGCCCGGCGGCACAGGTACTTCGGATTGCGGGGCGGAAGCGCCATTGGATAGGGAGGGGGCACCGGGGAAGAGAGTCGGGCGATTGAGGGTGAGGGTGAGAAGTTGGAGCTGGTTTGCATCTATCATTTGGGTACGGGTTTGTGGCCCCAGTGACTGGAAGCGCGACAGAAAGGCCGAGGCTACCGAGGAAGCATCTGAGCGGAGACGCTGAGAGATGGTGAAACTGCGAATTGCGCCCGGTCGGGTTCGCGCTAGTACGCAAGGGCGAAGGTGTGTGAGTAATGACAAACTTGAAGACATGATGGGTTAAGGAGAATAGTAAAAAGAAGAGTAGAGAAGAGAAGGAAAAAGGAGAAGAAGAAAAGCAGCGGGGATCTCCAAATGCATGCGGGGAAGCCGATTTGCTTCCAAGTCGGCTTTATACTTCACTTTGTACTATATGCTATTGGATACCCTAGGTAACATGTTTTTATATACTATTTTCTTCTAATGTTTAGTATATGATGGCCATGTGTTGATTTTAATTTGCTAAGTAACATAATTCCCTACCTTTTACCTGGTAACTACGAAACTACATATGTAGTTGGTCGCCTATGCCTATGTCCTTGACGACGTGGGGCTTTAATACTCTGATTTATCTGACCTAAGACAATATCAGGAATGTAACATGTAAGATAAAACTCCAATGTCTCCTTTTGATGTTATAGGTCAGTACCTGTAATGTGAATCAGGAACTCGGAACTCCGAGTACCTAGAAAGCGATGGATGTAGCCCTAACCTATCTAGGTAACCTTGGAAGCGATGCCATGATTGATAATCCATCCACCGCAGTACCTCTGGTAGAACAATGACGATTTTCAGGGGGTTTCGACTCATTCACAGTATTCCAAGGGTTATATGAGACTTTTGATTATAAATGTTTTGGATTATGAAGCCAAGATAACCTTGGAACCTTGGAGTATCCATGGATACATGTAGGATATAAATACCCTGCCAGTTTTTTTTTTTTTTTTTTTGGCATTCATATTTCCCATCTACTCATTCTTCAACCATCTATCATGGCCGGCATCAAAATCGTCTGGGGCGGAGCCTCAATCATGGATGAAGTCGCATATCCGACTCTTGAATCCATCAACGAAGTCCTGGATATTCTGCAATCCAATGACATCAAAACCATCGATACTGCCAAGATCTACAATAACTCCGAGGAGTTATTAGGAAAAGTTCATGCCGATTCCCGCTTTACCATTGATTCAAAATACCCTGGCGGGGTTTCGCCTGATCCTTCTACCCCCGAGTCTCTTGTGACAAGCTTGAATGAGAGTTTGGCTCGTCTTCAAACCAACCAGGTAAGCTTGCTTCTTATAATTCAAGACCACAAAGACCCAGTCTCTAATCCCATTCCTAGCTCGATGTCTACTACATGCATGCCCCCGAACGCAGAAGCTCCATGGAAGATCTGCTGGCTAGTATCAACGCTTCATACCAGGCTGGAAAGTTCAAGCGCTTTGGCTTGTCCAACTATTTGGCCGAGGAAGTCGAAGAGGTAGTCCGCATCTGCCGTGAGAAGAATTATGTCGTGCCAAGTGTCTACCAGGGCAACTATTCAGCCGTCGCACGCCGAGGAGAAAAGGAGATCTTCCCCACGCTGCGGAAGCATAATATCTCCTTTTATGCTTATTCGCCTATCGCAGGAGGGTTCCTGACAAAGGATGTCGCGACGTTGGTCGCTGGCGGCCAGGGTCGATGGGACCCAAACACCCCGCTTGGTGGAATCTACAATGCGCTTTTCAATAAGCCGAGCATGCTCAAGGGCCTGGAACAATGGGAGAAGATCTCCAAGGAGTCTAGTATTTCTAAGGTTGAATTGGCATATCGATGGGTGGCGCATAACTCGGCCCTCAAAGAGAAACTCGGCGATGCCGTGATTGTTGGCTCGCGTAATGCTGAGCAGCTCAATCAGACGCTTGCTGCATTGAGCAAGGGCCCCCTCAGCCCGGAAATTGCTGCACAGATTGAGCAGGTGTGGAAGAGTGTCGAGGCTGATGCGCCTTTGGACACCTTCAACAGTTTCCCCCATAATGATAAGGCTGCCTGAAGAACGCCGAGAGAAGAATATTGCAGACCATGCCCACCGGAGAGAAATCATTTGTAATTAGTATAATATGTGCCTTGAAATGAAAATCAAATAAAAATCATAAGTTTTCAAGAATGCCAGAGCATATCGTAGAAATGCCCAAAGCTTGAAACAGTTAAGCTGTTGGGGTGGGGTCATGGTGGGGCCATAGTGTGGATTGAAAGTTGTAAATAGCTTCGAAGATCTCCAAAAGAAGAAAGAGGAAACAAAGGTGGCCTCAATAGGTTCTTCACATAAGCTGGTCCCTAGGGTAGTTTTTTCATTGCCTAGGGCACGTCTCGCTCACTGTAACTCTGAAGCATCAGGGATGCCCTTTTTCAAGGTGGGGTCGGTGTACTCCCTGTCGTCAGCCCATAACTCACAGTTCTTCAACCCAGCCTAGCTGTGATTCGGTCGCAACCTAAAATCTCCCAGCTTGGAGTGCTTCCTATCTGAGCCATGGGGGTTGGGGGGAAGGTTGCTATGCCTGAACTGACAGTTCCATTTAGGCTCACTTATGGTACCTTCCTATTTCGGATCAAGTGGTACCTTCCTCATGATTTGAGGTATTTCAGGATCCATCGGGGCATCCCGAGACGTCATAACCAACGATGCCTTTTAGGGGACCTCGGGATATCGCATAAAGCGTCGAATTATCTGTAGTCCATGGGTATGCATTGAAAAGTGCTTTTTACGGCCTGGGCATGTATTTAAAAAGAGTTCAGTATGTTCATACACATAACGCCACTAATACCACACTGGGCCAAAATAGATCAGATTATCAAAGTCTAACGTCGTCAAATACAAGTGACGCAAGGGCAGCCGACTATTCGTGCATGTCCTACATGTAAACTTCAGTCCAGTGATATTAGGCCAACCCCAATCGGCGTATGTAGATTATTGAATTGAGGGCTGTTGAGGGTATCTTGAGGTAAAGGAGAGTAGGGATAGAGCCGAAAAAAAGAATAGAGGCAATAATAGAGCAAGTCAAAAGAGACACACAAAACCGAGACGAGTTCAAGGAAAGCAGACGAATCAAAGTCGAACCTGACCACCAGTCAACCGTTCCCAGTCCCTCTGTCCAAAGGGAACATAAGTATTGTCCTGAAGCCAGTACAGTCGGTCTTTCTTTGACACAAGAGCTGGATCCACGCCTTCAGTACGAAGAACATGCTTCTGTTGCTTGTTGTTACCGGTCGCCTGCGTCACAGGCGTAACCCGCAAAAACAGAGGAGCCGCAAACCGGGGCAGATTTTTGAGAGTGTGCGCAGCCAGAGTATCAAGCACCTCACGTGAGGGTTCCAGTGCGGAATCGGAGAGGTTACCGCTTGCCACCTGCTGGTTGAAGAGGATGGCTGCACATCCGGCACGGCCATCATGATTAGGAAGAGACACGCCATAAACGTTAGCTTCGTGTACTTCAGAATGCGAGCCCAGAACCTCGGAAACCTCGCTAGTGGATACATTCTCACTCTTCCATCGGAAGGTATCACCCAGTCGATCCGAGAAGAACCAGCGGCCGTCTTTGTCCCATCGAACCATGTCGCCGGTCCGGAAATAGGCATCGCCTTTCTTGAGTACATCCCGGATAATCTTGCCTTCTGTCGCCTTCTTGTTTCCGAAGTAGCCCTGGAAATTGGCAGTAGGATCCGCTGCATCGATAGCGAACAGCAACTCACCGGGATCGCCCCGAGGGACATTCTTGCAGAGACCAGTCTTGGGGTCACGCCACGGTTCCTCGGTCTCGTGGTCAACATCCACGATGGCGGAGCCACGACCAAGGATTATATTTCCCAAAGCACCGTTTCGGCCGATAGCACCCGCGGAGAAGTCGTTCGATGAAATGTTCCATGAGCCCGCAGTGCCTTCGGTGGCAGCGTAGAACTCGGCAATTGTGGGGATGTTAAAGCGTGCTTTGAACCGGTTCCAGATATCGGGACGTAGTCCATTTCCAAATGCAAGGCGGATATTGTGCTTCTTGTCAAGGTCCTCGCCGGTGACCGGGTCAATTTCAGGTGCCACGCCCAATAGATAACGCAGTGTCTCGCCCACATATTGAATAATCGTCGCATCATTCTCGCGAGCCTCTTTGATGAAGTTGCGCGCAGAGAAGCGGCGGCCAATGATCAGGGTGGACCCGGCCATTAAGCAAGTTATAAAGCCAAGCACCGAAGCAGAACTATGGTAAAGAGGCATGCACTAGTCAAGAGGTTAGCTTGGAGGGTAATATTTGTCAGTTAGGTAGACCTTACTGTGAAGAATCTGTCGGACGAAGTAATGTTCAGCCAATCTTTGACGAACAAACTACCAGACCAGCACTTCTTCCAACTGACAATAGCAGGTTTGGGAAGGCCAGTGGTGCCGCTTGTGTAAATTAAAATGGCCATATCGCGAGGGATTAAGCCACTTCGGGCCTTGTCATCCTCTCGCGTAGGCTCCATTCCTAAAATCTGCGCTTCCACCTCGGGAGTATGAAACACGATTTCAACCGGCCCTTTGCCATCACGGAAGCTCGGGGATGTCAAAATCTTCTCCTGTTCCTCCGGGAAGCAGTGACGAACTTCTTCGTCAACTACCAAGAGTCTCGCCGTGGACGTTCGAATAGAGTGTGTGAGCGGCTTGCCGGACAAGTTGTAGTTGATGAACGCAGGGACTGCTCCGATACTCCAAAGTCCTAGCAGCATGAAGATAAAGGTAGAAGAATTCATGAAGTCGATCGCGACGATTTCCTTGCGCTTGATGCCATGGACGTTCTTGAACCACGCTCCGTAGCGAAGAACCGTGATGTAGGCTTCATGGAATGTCGTTGTTCGTCCATTGTACACAATAAAATCGTTATCTGCGGTTTTTGGATTGAGTGCATAGGATTCAAGTATGTAGAAGAGGTTCAAGCGGTCGCCACGCTCGGCAACGCGGGACTTCACAGACATCTTCAACAACCCCTTGAGAAGGTTCAAATCGTAGGAGACCGACCATCTTGCGTTTAGATATGCAAGTGTGGTGGCCGCGGCAGGGAGTGCAAGACTCAAGGGAATATCTACACAAAGAGACAGTTGTCAGCTCATGCATCCCGCCCCGCCGTATGTTACAACCTACCGGGCAAAGGTGGCAGCGGCATTATCGCCAAATAGATTCAAGGATCAAGCCCAAGTGAGTATGATTGAGTATGATCAAGTAGTTTACTTGCGGGGTACGATATTTGGAGCGGAGGGTGAGATCACCCCTTGGGTCGTAGCTTTGAATGTAGCTTTGGGTGAAAGGACAAAGAACGCGTTATGGGAGCTCCTTGACACCTCGAATTTCGCGAGATTGCTTTCTTATATTAGGAAATGACTAGTCAAAAGCAACAAAGGTTGACAATATCCAGTGAGATCGGTGAGATTGAAATAGGAAGAGATCGAAACGTGCCTCGGCACGGAAGTGCCGATCCCCTGACAGCATGCAACAATTGTGCAACGTTGTGCAACGCGTACAACATAACACTACTCGCCACATACCTAGGTAGGTACCCAACCTTAGAATTTAACATGCATACATACATAGATTAAACAACTGTTATCTCTTCCAATAGTTATATGTATGTATACATAATGCTTAATTTTAGAGCATACAGATGCTAACTCTTAACAGTATACATGGGCCCAGCCTACAGGGATCACCACCCCGCAATTTTTCGGAGAGTAAAGCTATACTATTTATGTACTAGTTGCATGTCCGAAGCATGGATATCTATCTTGGCCAAATTGCCTAAGATAGTATATCACTTCGGCAAGGGTTTCTTTGCTGGGACATCCTCATACCCATCTTCCATGAACTTACCCAATGCGTCCAAGCCCTGCTCTAGGACCTCGGTTTCATTGACATACCCAATGCGAACATAACCCTTGAAGTCTTCTCCGGCCCCAAAGCAAAGGCTCCCCGGCACAAGCATCACACCGGTCCGTTCTTGAAGAATTTCACAGAAAGCGACATCGTCTACGGGTTTTCCCATCTTGTTGAAGCGCACAAATGCAGTCGTACCGGCTTGCGGCTTAATCCACTCACATGCCCAGCGATGAGCATCGATGAACTTCTCTAAAATGGAAAGATTGGTCCGGGCTAGATCGAGATTTCGCTTCAGAAGATTGTGGATGCAATCCGGTACTAGGGCAAAACTGGCAATTGCCTCGTCAATTTGCCCGACCGAGATAGTTGTATAATCGCGCGCATTAGCAAGAGATTCGATGATAGAACTATCCCGTGACGCAACCCAGCCGACCCGTAAACCTGCCAGGCTGTAGGCTTTGGAAATGGATCCTGTCACCACGGTGTGTTCGTATCCCATGGAAAGAAGTGTGGGTGGGAATCTGGGGTCCGCGGGGCTGATATTGTGGAAAAGTGGGCGATAGACCTCATCGGAGTGGATGATTATGGACTGCTCGCGGGCAATATCGATCAATTGTTCGAGGGTTTGACGTGGGATGATAGCTCCAGTTGGGTTTTGCGGGTTGCTATGACGAGCATGATGGTTAGAGAAAAAAATGCGGGCCCTATGTGGTAGTGATAGGAGTCAGACATACTTTATGATGATCAACTTTGTGTTGGGACGGATAAGGCCTTTCAGCTCTTCAATGTCCAGCTGCCATCCATCAGCCTCTTTGGATTTCCATAGGCTGACTTCGGCTCCCACTGATGCAGGAACGGAGAACAGTTGCTGATAAGTTGGATAATGGCAGATGACATGGTCTCCTGGGCCAACCAACGTATATAGCAGCAAGAAGTTCGCTTGAATTGCGCCAGGAGTGATCAAGATATTATCCTTCGGCAACTGTGTTGGGGCCCTCACCGAGTACAAATTCGCCAATGTATTGCGTAGCTTATCAGATCCGCGGATCGCCCCATACGTAAGTTTCGTGGATTGGAGCTGGGCAAAAGGGTCGGACTCTTTGTCATCGGACAGCGCGCGGAGGTCGTCGACGGAGATGGATGCGCAGCAGGTCTCG